TGCTGGCTACAACAAGCTTTTATTAACTGAAAATAGAACTAAGTAATGGAAGGGATTGGAGAATAAAAGATAAAGGCTGTTTCAGTATTTTCTGTTGTAACCTGTGCCATTTAGGGAGGAATGCAGCAGAAAGCAGTGCATTTCAAACAAGCAATGTAAGAAGATGGCAGTAGATAATTCTGTGAATTAAATGCATTCTGCATTTAAAACTCTTCAGTGAAAGAAAATTCAAAGCTTTAGCAGTTTGCGCTTAACAGGGAAAATCCTGCTGATGTGAGCAGATTACACAGGCTCTTTCCTGTGCAAACGTCTGCAGAATGATCAATCACGATTAAATGGCAGTTTTTAACCAGCGACACTGTTTATGTGAAAGGCAATTCGTGCCCTGAAGCCATGTGAAATATAATGGCAAAGTAGGAGAAAGGAAAGATAAGCAATAGTAGCAAACTTGCAATACTTGAAAAATTAGCAAAAAAAAAAATCAAACTCAGCCCTGAAAATAGGCAACAGCAAAGAAAGTGAACAGCAGGATTATGCAATTCTGTTAATGTATTTCAAGGGCTTGGGAGTTTGCCAGTACTATGTACTATATGGCTCTACTTCAGCAGATTTTAAAGCATGAACGTGCGTTATACTTGTAGGTATTCCTGAAAAGCTGAGGTTGTGCATGTGGACATCCAGCTGGGCGCTGATGTAATGCTTCAGGTTTGTGCTCACGGGTTTCCTAGCATGCTTGTGGGTGGATTTCTTGCTGTCTTATACTGTGCTGCCATACATGCTACAGATGGTCCCCTTGTGGGCAACAAATCTGGGTCTCTATCTATGGGCCAGCTATTAACAAATCTTAGAGATTTCTACACTTTAGCAGATTTTGTAGAAGAGGTCAAAAGTGGTTTTGTGGAGAGGGGTAAACAAGTGATAGGTGTACAGACAGTACAATCACTAAATCATCCTTACTGTAGGAAACCAGACTAGAAAGCTAGGCCTACGAATGAATGCAAGGGAGAATGTATCAGTTCTGTAAGTGAAGGGTGTGTTGAGTTGAGTGAAAGAACATGTCGGATGGGGGGATGAACGGCTGGGAGTCATTTGATTGTAACACTCAGAGTGCCAGACAACAGCATCAGGATTTCTACAAAGCGGAGAAATTCTCAAGAGGGCATGTTCATCTGCTGACTTGAATGAAATAGTGGAAAGAATAACATCAGCCAAATGACTTTTATCTAGATTTGCTCCAAAGAATACTATTTGATGAGGCAAATTCCAGCATATTTGCTATAAATAAACTATTTGAGCAGTGTCAATTCCTGTCTTCTATTAGTGTTCTGCACCCCTTGTACCACAGGACACAAATCCAAGTATTTGATGGACACACAGTATGCTTTGACCAAAAAACAAAAAAGCAGAAGCACACCAAAGCAGTATTCTAAAACCTGTTGTATATTTGGAGCTGCCTTTAAACCACCTTGGCAGTGTTGTTACTTTTCCAAAAATCAAACTATTAATCAGGTATTTCTGCTCTGAACTTCAGCACCAACATAGTTGAAGTTGTAGTACCAGCAAAAGAAAAATTTCCAGCAAATACCGCTTCAAAAGCGTTGAGCTGAACAGAAGAGATCGTTTGTGTTTTAAAAACCTATAAACATGACTGCAGTAGATGTATGTGCTATATATATGCTTGGGTTGGGATTCTGATGTGCCCATTTCAACAGCTATGTTAAACATGAATTTTGATTTAATGAACTTGAAATTATAGCTTGATACTGGCTTTCCCACACCCCAGTCCTTTCATGCCCCTGTGCTTTTCTTACAGTTTACTGTCCCTTTGGTTGAATTCTTGCAAGTGTTGGTGTGGTTGTGCACTGATTCTGCCTCTCAAGTGGTGCACCAAAGTCTCCCAAACAGTGGAGGCTCCTTTGTTACAGTGATTCACTTTGCAGCAAGGACAAAAAACAAACTGTGCCAGTGTGAGAGAAAGGGGGAGAAGGAGCGTAGAGGATGCTCCGCTGCAGGAGGGGTCCTCTTAAACCAAATGTGTTTTGGAAGGAAAGGTGTTATTGCTTCATTCTTCCCCCATTGCATTCCAAGTGTTTGAAGTCTGTAGATTCCCATCACAATCTGGAAGGTAAATGTAGTGAAACCAACAATTGCTCATACTATTATTTTTAAGTGATCCTACCAGTGATTTGAGGAAACTCACAAAAAGCTGTGTGCTGTATTCTGGCTGTAAAGGCCTATGCCTTTTCTCCTTAGGACACAGAGATTATCTGTCAATTCCTACTTTATTTAGGTTTTAACTTGAAACTGAACTGTTATTGGGGACCACAAATAGCTCAGTCAAGTCTATTCTGCAAAGAGCCTCAGAGCAAAGAAGAGATTAGTCACGCCAGCTTGCCAGGAGGCTATTGCCTTATATGTAATACAGAAATTGTGAAGGAGAATTTCTGAACTATGAAACTGTGCACACTTATAGAAATACATTAATAGCAGCAACAGCATAAGGCACAAGTGAGTCAATGTTGGAGTCAGCATTGCTTCACAAAGCCAGGAGCTCGCAGCTGAAAGACTATGTTGTTGCTTTGTACTTTGGATCAAAACTGTTCTGTCATGGCTGGATCGCAACATGCTCTGAAATACCCAAATTCTGAATGGCTTGTTCAGAGAAAGGGTTTTATTCAGAAAAAAAAACCTTTGTTTATTGCTCCTCTTTATCATCTAAGAGGAAATGGTTTGCATATAGGAGGTTGTACCCAGCCCAGGATACCTGGACTGAACTGCAGGTTTCGTGGCCTGAGCCTGGAGATGAGCCAGTGCGGGGCAGTTTAGACAGTGGCTTTTTGTATCTCTGAAGTCTTCTGGTTGTACATAACCATGACGATGACCATCAGAGAGATGAGGCTTCTGTGACAATGTGCATGTGGTGTTATATACATCCCATAGTGGGGTAAAGTAGCCTAGTCACTGTTAGGGGAATGGGGGAAAAGAGACTGTTCTTCATCTGGTAGCTGCTGGCATGTATAAGCTGGCAAAATGGGTTGCCTAATGTATGCTGGTATCTTATTTAATATAGGTCAAAATATTTTCAATTACACTAGTGAAGGAGTGGTCTGAATATATCCACATATTTCCTGGACTTGTTTGGGTCTTTTTTACAAAGCATGGTCAAATATACTGTGCTTTGAAATCTAACTTTAAGTGCTTGTTAAAGTTAAATGAGCAATAAAAGCCTATTCTGTGTTTGCCTCAGTGCTCAAAGATACTCAAAACTTTACAAGCCCAGATTCTAGTTTTTAGTATCTATATTATTATTATTGTTGTTATTTAATTTAGATTTAGAAACACTAAGTACTGAAAAATACTAGATTTCTGTGATGTTTTCCTCCACACAACCACCCACAGTCCTCTGTGTAGTATAACGCCACTTTCCATTAGGGCAACCACTGTCAGGAACAAAAAATCACTATGGCCAACTATTTCCCACTGCCTCCACCTGGTCAGAAAGTGGTTGGATAAATGTGATTTAGCCTGCACACAAATGGAAGCAGGATACTGCAGGAGTTTGGGGGTTTCCTCCATTTCATTGGTATGTCAAAGAAATAGACTTGTTAAACTCTAAAAAGTTAAACTGTATTTGATTCCAGCTTCAGAAGCACAAGCAAAGGTCTAGAGAAGTAAAACTTTCCCCTCTTTGACGTTTTTCTCTGTGAGACATTAGATATAAATATTCTAATATTAATAATATTGTAATAATAAAAATCTAATTTTATGTAGAATTTAATTTTTTTTTAATGTCAATATAAAAATAAATTCAGTCAATGACAGTATATATTTTGGCCTTTTAAATACATCAAGTAGTACAATGTTGGACCCAAACTCTTCTTTCTGAGTTAGACATACCTGATTCGGACATGTCAAAAAGGTTTTGAGTTTGGGGGTTTATTTCTTTATTGCTTTTGGGGATTTTTTTGGACATTTTTCAAAACCAGCTTTTCCCTATGAGAAATTTTCAGTAAATCAGGATATTTTTTTATATCTTTTTTTTTCTTTCTCCTGAATTGAAAACTTCCTACTGAGACATTGGCCAAAACTTCTCACTTCCAGGTTTTGGTTCAGGAACTTGAGCTATCCCTAAGCTTACAGCTATTTGACAGAATGCATCCTCAAAGGAATGCTATAAAATGAAATGAAGGAAATTTAACTGAAGAAGTCCATTAAAAAAATTCCTTGATTAAGGGATAAATTGCCAATGCTAGGGAAAATCGGCCCTGAAGTTTTGCAGCTATTCACTGGGAATCTTGGTAGGGTACAAACAGATTTGGGTGAAAAGCCAGACATAGAACAGCTGCTGCTGGAAAACTGGGAGATCTTATTCTAAATACTTTAAGCCAAAAGAAATGTTTTAAAAAAAATCTGTTGTGTTTCAAAACGGTCTCATGTGTGCAATCCCATTATCTTCAGGGGAATGAAGACTATTTAACTGTTGCTAGATCGTGTCCTTAACTGGTGATGTGTTTATAATCCTGATTCAGGAAGGAAAAAAGAAAATGGAGAAAATGCTGAATTCCGGAGAATATCGGAGTTACTTGGATCTTTCACAAAAACAACTTGTTAAAAAAACAAAGGGAAAATGATCTGTCAAAAATCTGAGAGGATTTGATTTCTAAATTTATCATAACAGATGTAACTATTTCTTAATAGTTTTCTAATATAAATAGTTTTTTTAAATGAGTAACACACATAGGGAGGAGGGGTCCTGCTTATATTTCACTTTCCACCACCTTAGTGCGGGGAGGAGCTCAGTCAGTAGGAGTCCCATGATGGTGGCCCCTGTGCCAAGTTAGAGGGAAGCAGCAGAAGCGTGGATGTGAGCTAAAGGGTCAGAGTGCTGCGTTTTGCTTACAGCAAATGATGAGCTCCTTTAAAAAATGGGAGAATATACCAATGTCAGTTGTTAATCATTGACTCATGGGCAGTGCTGAGCAGAGGTGCTGTGTCTACCAGTAACATGCTGGGTGGTACAGAGTGATGGAACCCTCAGACAGTGAAGAAATGATCATACCTTGATCCTGATACAAACACTTCAATTGGGAAGAGCTGGTTTGGATTCTAGCTCTTAAGGAAAGTCATCTCAGCTAGGAGAGGCAGAAATGAAGAGGGTCACTAATGCATGCTTACTAAATAACAGTTTGTGTCAAGCGACACTGGTGGTAACTCAGGCACCTGCTTGGGTATCAGTTGGGATGAAATTCAGAGAGCAGTGGGATTTGGGAGGTCAAGTCTCCTGGGAACAGCAGGTATGGGAGCTCTGCCACCAACACTGTCCCTTTGCAGGGACATTTCTGTGAGTTGGACACTTTGGTTCTGCCTCCTGTACTAGCTGAACTTAAAAGAACTTACTGCTCTCATAATTTTGCATGTATAAATTGTTCAAAACTATCCAACTAGAATCCTTTTCCAGAGTTCCCAGGGGTAGTGATAACACTGCCCTAAATTACCAGTATGAAACTTACTATCTCTGTTATACTTAAGCTTTCATGGAAAACATGAACCACAGGCGTGGGGTGGGGAGAGGACGTGTGTGTCTGTGTGGGCACTGAGAAACGTAGCTGTCCCTGTTTTGGTGCAGCAGTTCAGCCCAGTTCCAGGGGATTTGCAAATATTTGACCTATCTGAATTTAGCCTATTGAATCCTCTATCGAATCTCTCTTTGCTTAATGCGCTCCATTTCCACAGTGCTCCTGAGTATTGGGAGAAAGCAGGTAACATTCACAGTCAGCGGACCTGCTCTGGGACTCCGGGTCTGGGCAGCCTGTCCTGCAGCAACATCTCCTGGAGACTGGAAACATTTGGGGTGTATGGTACCAGAGCCTGAGAACAAGACACCCCTCTGTAGATCCAGCACTCACAAGAGTAAACTCACTCTCCTTTTGTTACTCAGAGCAGCCATCTGGTTAGAAATGAAGCAGCTTGGAAATATTTGGGCATGGAGAAGCTGGGATAGGAGTTAGGAGAAGAGAAGGAACAATGGAGCTGGTTCGCTCTTCTGAGTCATGTTGAGTTGGAGTCCTGCTCTTGTATGTTCTGCTGCAGCCCAGTGACCCACAGGTGATTTGACTAGAGTGACCACTTACTCATCTATGCAGTGTGGTGTGCTAACCTACTTTAAAACCCTTGATTCCAGGTGAGTTCCGCTCTGCAGACCTAGCACTAGGCTTTGTTCAACGTCTGCCTCATTTGCCTTTCCCGGAGTAACTCTTTAGTGGAATAATTACTGTACAAAAGCCAAAGCCCAGCAAACTGCTCTGCATTCCAGTTTCACAGGAAGTAAAATCTGAGCTTGCCAAGAGTGCTCGCTCATCCGCGGCCACTCGGCATCCGAAATTCCCGCTCCTGTTAGCGTGGCTTTACGTAACAGGAGCATGCTGGGCCTCTGACTTCTGTTTTTTATGCAGAAAACTAGAAATGAATGTGATGTGGCAGGAAGCAGCTTGTATGAAAGGCATAGAGATTGAAAGATGACAGTAATATGTTTTCAATACTAAGTTAAAGCAATGAAATACTCACTTGAACAGCAACTCTGGGGTCCCTGAGGCTGAGTTTAAAAGGTATAAATGAAGTAAACCTCAAAAATTGCATGGTCAATTTATTTGGCAGCATAAGCTTAAATTACCCAAACAGCTGGTTTAAAAACTGGCCTCTTAATAGAGAGTCAAAGTATTGGGGAAGCTGCCTTTCTGTTTTGAGAACATGACAGTAAAAACAATAGGGTGACAATAGTGACCTCCTCCTACAAGGAGGTGAGCAGTTAAGATTTGAGCCATTCTGCTGGGGTCCCCAGTGCAGCACCAGCCCTGACCAGTGCCCCTGAGCCTGTGCTTCAGGTCAAGTTTATTAGTGCTCCTGCCTCCAGTCCTGGCCCTGCCTCCTGGATAGGTCCTGGGCCTGTGTTGTAGCCTTGTCTCCAACTCCGTCTCCTTTTGCTATTGACTGGACCCTCTGCATAGATACTGGACCCAGTTTATATCCCTTTTGCTTCACTTGTGACTGCCCATGTGCCAGCACCCAGCTCTGCCTGTCCTGTTCCCATGCTGCAAGATTATGGCATGTTGGTGAGGGGGCTGTTTGCACTGTGGTCACCTCTGCTCTTGCCTCCCATCCTCTCATGGAGCAGCACTGCTGCTACTGCTCCTACTTTTTACTGGCCTTCAGTAGGCATTTCCTTGCTGCTGAATTGCAGATGATGCTGGTGCTGGGAGGTACCAAGCAGCTGGCACGTAGCAATACATACCAACTGTGCAGTCATGTGCCTGCTGAACTCTCCTGTGCTTCACCAGACTGCAGAAGCTGATGGAAACCAACTTCATCCTGAGCAGGACTGTGCCATTTATGCATCTCAAGGGGTATCAAAACTTCTGAAGTGGCTGTGCATATACTGAGACTGAGCTGATTGCCCGCATGTTTCCTGACCTCTCTTTCAAGGTCGTATCTTTTTCCTGTGTACTGGGGGCATTGATTGCTTCTTGGGATGAGATCAGACTTTTGTTTAACAAATTTCCTGTTGTTGTAGGGACTAGAGCAGGAACAACGCTCAGTTTCGTCAGTGTTCTTCCTACAGTGTGCTACCAGGCTCTGGGGCTCTTGCTGCAACTCTGAACCTTGCCAATGTTTTTTGAGAAGTGTTTTACAGCCTGGGGTGATATTTGGAGCCCTTCAGAGCTCAACAGCTATAGTGCAGATATCTTAGACTGGAGCAAACAGAACTCTTGAGCAAGATGATGTAAGGAGGAAACTTCTTTTTTCCCCTGTATACCAGGTGTGAATGATGCTTGATGTCTGATGGGTAGGGTTGGGACTGTGGTGATCTCCCCTGCTAGAATGCAAAAAGACAGTTCCTGCGTACTTTTTCTGGTATGAACAACCTAAAACAAAAGAAAGGAAATAAAAATCCTAGCCAAGCAATAAATCAGGACAGACTGGGATCCTGCCTCCCCTGCTGCTGCAGTGGAGGATGAGGTTGGTGATGTGGGTGCTGAAGAGTAGGCTGTGCTTTACTAAAATTTGGTGTTGTGTGCATGTTCCCTTCTATCCTTCCCTCATCCTGGCTGGCCCTAAATGGCTCTGACCCAGAGGGTGAAACCTCCCCTGGTAGAGCCCACCTGAGCATTGGTACCTCCATGCTTATCATGTATCAAAGACAGGCTAACCTGACCTGAAGCAGAACCTGCAGCTCCAGCAGCACTGTAATGACTGGAAACAACCAAACACTATCTAAAAACAAACCTGTGTTTTGAAAGAAATATATAGTAAAGTCTTGCTAAAAATCAGCGAGTTCTGAACTGGGGTGTGGGATGGTCCTTTCTAAAGATGAACTAGAAATGGGAGAGGGAGGGAGACCGTGTGCCTGTCTATAGCATTAGAATCAAGATACAAAAAAGCTGGAGGGGAATTGTGCCATAATTAATCTACCAGGATGCTATAGATCTCATTTCACTGTGCTACAGTAATAACTAAATGAAAATCCAGATCATGGCTGAGCACATGAAGAAATAAACAGTTCCTGTGTATTTCAGAGAAGGATGAATTTCACGTTGCTGTGGTTCCCAGTGGTTCCTCAGTTTGCTTGGGAGATGGTTGTTATCAGGATAGTGCATTCTTTAGAGATGAACTAAACTTGTTTTTGTTTTGAAATTGCATACTTCTATCATCATCAACACCCGAAGCAAGACACTTTGTAAACTTTTCTTGTATTACAACTTTATAATGACAAACCCAGGCTAAAATAGATGTATGAAATTTAGAAGGTCATGAAGTACTGCCCTTATCTTTTGGGGTGTATTTTCTGGTTCCTCTGAAAGGATCTTTAACTCAATGCTGCAGAATTCTGGTACCTCCAGAACTGCCTCATCTGAGGGATCACTTAAAAACTATGGCTCTCTAGGGAAGAGAAGTATCTTATACACTTCTAGTGCTGTTTGTTATTATGAAAGCTAATGGGAAAATCAGGTTTGGAAAAAATATTATGTAGATTTGTGCTACTAGAAATCCAGCATTTTTATAAGGAATTTTAATCCTTTCTGCTATGGATCTGCTGTCCTTTTCTGTGTGCTTGCTGTGGGCTCTGTCTGTATGGAGGCTGTGGAAATTATGTGAAAATCCAAGCAGGGCTTTTGTCCTTTCTGCTGGCCTGACCAGCAAAGTACAGGAAAGACTCACACAGGTTATTGATCATCTTTAGATCAGATTTCAAAATCATGTGTATTTAATAGAATGAGTTTCATAAATGTCATGATATAAAAGCAATCTTTCATAAATTTTATAATCTTTTGTTGTTGTTGATATTGTTTAAAAATTGTAAATGAAAATATTTCCTAACACATTTATCTGCTTCACACTGCATTTGTTTCTGTCTAGGGCATATTTCTGATTGCCTGCACTTGTGTGTGCATTCATCACCATGACAGCTGAGTTTTTTGGGGGACCAGTCTGTTTCAGCAAACTCAACCAGGTAGGAAAGGAAGAATCTGTGAATATCACTGCAACTCTCACATGTGAAGGGATTAAATTCATTTAACCTTTTAAGAGAAAGGCTTAGGCTTTCTCCCATGGATTCTTCTTAAATGGATCATTTATCTTGCTTCTGCACTGCATGCTTCAAAACCTAGGAAGAATTAGGAAATAATTCCTTTTTTATTCTTTTTTTTTTAGCTGTGGCAAGACTTGAGCATTTGTGACCATTTTACCTCTTCCTCCCACATGACACGCACATCTGAGGCTTTGGGGACAATAAAACTGTAAGAAAAAGGTATGCTCACTGTAACTTGATTAGCAAGTCAGTTGCTGTGCGTCTGTAGTGCTAGTGAAGGATCTGTGTGCCAGTTTGTCTTCATAGTCAGTAACACTTTGCAGGAATATGCTCATTTATTCAGACTGCTTACGTACCTCTGGCACAGACACTTTCTTTAACCAGCAGATCTTGAAATCTATTTCACAACCACTCTTTTCTCTTATATGTATTGCTTGCCAACCATAATTAATGGACTGAGTTTTATAGGCAATGCATGAGCATGTTCTCTCTCTATATATGCCCTAATTCTGGCAAAAGTTGCATTGCCCAGGCCTCCCTATGAACTGTATTTCTGTATAAAATCCTAGCATGCGTGTGTGTACTGAGATGGCTGTTGGAAACTTATCTTTAAAGCTTTATTGCAAGCCAGAATATTCTGAAACTTGGCATACTGCTTTTGGAGTGGGTGCAGTTCATTTAGTTAAATCTGGGTCTGTCTCCTGCTCTCTTTTTATAGCCCAGGTTCCTCAGGGTAGAGGGAAGTACCTAATTGCAAATCTGTCTTGCCAAGTGCTTGGCAACTAGAGCTTCCCCCCACAATGGAGTTTGTCTCTAAAGCAGATAACGTCCATTTGGAATAACCTGATGTTTTAGGCTAAAAAAGGGCAGAGTTTTGAAGAATGGTTTAGAGATTAAACCCAAGTATGTGTAACACACTGATTTGTTTCCAGGCCCTGTGGATAAAATACTCTTTTAACATGTCACTACTTGAAAAGAGTGTCCTGTAGCAACCTTAACTCTATATTTTTTACTTTCTCTTGCATTTCATCCTTTCCCACTGTTGGTTTAATATGGCATTATAGGATATTTGGGTCAACAATCAGATTATGAAAATATTTTGTACCTATTTAGCACACAAATACCTATTTCATTTTCAAGAAATGTATGTGCTTTATTTGAATCAGGTAGAGTGCTCGAGTTTGAGAGGTACTTTTATGGCTTTGTGTACGTTACAGAGGTCTGGCATCTGGGTCAGGGTTTGCAGTATGTGCATACCAAGGATCCCCTATCAGCAAAGCAGAGGTACCAGCAGAATTCAGGGCCTGCGGTTGCTGCTAGTCAGTCCTGTAAATCTGCAGTACTGCAGAGTCAGCACAGGCCCCACTCGGGCAGAAACCTAAACATCTGTTTAACTTTAGGCATGAGCTTTAAGCTTCTCTCACATGACCTACTAAGTAATGGGGGGGCGGGTTTGTTTGTAATCACTGTACTGGGTGCTTTACTTCATCAGGTTGTGCTGTCGAAGCACTTTTCAAGCAGGATGGAGTTTGTTCCTTACCTTCAGACTGTCTTTTCATAGTGTGGCAAGACATAGGCATGCAGCCCCAAAATTTCTCTCTTCCTTTTCTTTCTCTTTTCTGTCTCTCCATATGTTAGGTTTGCAGAGCAGGGGGAACCTTGGGTGCCCCAGCCTAAAAGAGAGCTGTAGCTTGTTCATATGAGTCTCCAATCTGGACAATCAAGAGATGGGGACTGCAGGGCTGCTGCATGCACACCTGCCCCAGCATACAAATAGCCTATAAAATACTCCGAGTGTTCTCATTTCATATTGAGGTAGGGTGGTGTGCCCAGTAATACTTCCGTGCGTAGGCTGACCAGCAATTCCTGCAATTATCTGAGGAGTCTGGCTGTGAAAACTTGCAGTGGGCTTGCTCCTTCTACTCCTCCAAGCTATGAAAACAAATTGCTCTTCCTTTTGGACTGAATTCCCTTCCCATTTCATTCTGTTGCTGCTCCTCCTGTGTGTTTCTCTCTCATCTATTTTCTTCTGGGTTTTGCCTGTCCAGACTCTTCCTGCATTCATGCTGATCATTAGCTGGAATAGGCTGTGTAGAAATATTCTATATATTATTTATAATAAAGGTCTGAATTAAAACCTCAGTTGTCCCAGCAGGGTTATAGGGAACCTTTTGAGAAGAACTATGGCTGAATATGTTTGGAGAGGATGACATTCTTGCTCTGACACTGATGTGATACCTGAAAAACTACTGACAAAATAGCACTAGTCTGCTGAACACTTTTGGTTGAGCTCTGTTCTCCCAGACAGTGGAAACTGTTGCTTTGTTCCATTCAAATGATAGAACTCAATTTGAAGGCCTCTTCTGACTCTTTGGTCACTAGCAAGTTTGGAAAAGTTAAATATCCCTCCTGTGCTTAGGTCTGGTATACTTAATTATGCATTATCTATTTGATAAACTCATTTTTGGGAAGATGAATGTAGAAGTGAAAGGAAGGGTGCAGGGGGGAAACATCTTTTGCTTATTGCCATTAGGAAGACTTCATTCTGAACCAAGGGAAATATGGCTTAACAACAAATGACATGTTTCTGTGAACAGACCAACAGGAAGATCTCCCTCTATCTGTGTGGGGGATGTTAATGATTCATTACAGCCTGTTTGATGGGAGTTGGAATTTATTGTGGTATCTGGTAGCATCCATCGTTCAGTTCTTCATCTGTTTTGATAAGGAAAAAATCCTGTGCTGTTGTATCCAGCTCTGTTCCTCCTGATAAATAAGCTGCATATCTTTAAAAGCCATCTATTATCCTCTGTTTGTCAGTTTTATAAACTGGAAAAGATTAGTGGGAGCAGAAAGAGAGGATTGCTGATTATCTGAACCAGTGTTAACTGTTGAAGAATGATTTCTTCTGCTGGGCCATAAGCAGTGCCCTGGAAGAGCTGCCCTCTTGGTAACCACCGCCTCAAGGGCCTGTGGCCAGCAGAGCTCCTCCTCTGCACCCACAGCTCCCTTACTCAGTCATACAGGTCACTTTAAACTGTGTCAGCTCCAGTGCTTCTGGGACATGAGTTGCCTGTGCCCCCAGACACTGAAACTAGCAGAGGTAGCTTAGCGCTGTGTCCTGCTTTCCTTCATCTCTTCCTTAGCAGACTTCCAGAAAGTGATGGGCATGGGATGCCTGCCATCCAGGCACATAAAGCTGGAGAACAATCACGGCCATCTAGAGCTGACCTACTCCAGCCTTGGCATCTGACAGTGCTTCATGAAACGTACATACACACAAAAATGAGCCTGTGAAGCCATCTCAGGGCACTGCTGATCAGTGTTGTCCTGCTCTCCAAAAGGTGAGCACTCCTCTACCACTGTCTGTAATGATTGCAGGTGTTGCGCTCCCTGAATTTTCTTTTGACCTCTTATTTAATGTAGTCCTTTTTTTACAGAAGCTTTTACAAAATCCTTTCTCGTAATTCCCAGAAAACTCATGAGGAGGAATTATTTTCCAAACTCCAGTTTGTTGCACTGGAAGATACAAAATAGACCTGCTGGGATTAACCCAAACAACATGCACTTGGCTGAATCACAGCACTGAATATTTCTCCCCTGGATATTCTGAGGCTTCTTTGAACACTTCAAATTAGCATTTCACTTAGGCTGATACCAGCAATAGGAGATGAGTGATGTTAACATTTGAAAGTTATGTGGTAAATCTAATTTTCAGGTTTGCATGCCACAGCTTAGCATGTACTGAGGCACTTAAAACTGACATATGGATGTTGTAGCTACAATTTAAATGTGTGGTATATCTCAGCATTTCATGGCCCTGATACACAAGTCTTAGAGGTAAAACTAATGAGTAATAAGCATGATGGTACAGCTTCCTCTTTTGAATGAGTACGTATTTGTACTTACTCAAATACCACCTCACAAACTGTGATTACGGTCAGTCAGCATGTGAAAAAGAATTGGTTTGGTAAAGGAATTTTAAGTTTTCACCTCAAATTTTACTGTGAGGCTGTAGGCAGACTCAAGCATGTCCAGAGGATACTCTCATCTCCAAGGATCAGTATGTAGTCCTAAAGGGGGTGTGAGAGCAGGACCTGTGTGGTTTAGCAGCAGTCAGCTGAAGTGGCACAGTGATGTCCTACCAAATTCATGAGGATTCAAAATGGGCAGAAGCAGTTTTATTAAACAGCTTAACGTGTTCTATGGAATTTGTAGATGATGGATCTTCATGGGAATGTCTCAAGGAAAAGCGCTAGATTAAGTTGCATTTTATAAGCTCTGACACAAGGCCAGGGAATGCAGTTCTGGAGCACTATTGGTCCAGTGTATTTGCATAGACGTCCAAAATAATTTAGCAGGGATTCTGCAGTCCTCATTTTGCTGGCTGTTGGGAGACTTACTGTATACCAGTCATAATGCATCAAATTAATCAGATCATTGATACTTAGCAAACAAAAAGCATAGCAATCAGGAGGTAACCCGAACCTCTCTCCCCTCCCAGAATAGGCTGCCTGTAAGTGAAAATTCCACAATACTGTGATTCTTTTTAACAAAGGCAACGGGGGTAAGTACCTATAAATCCAAACTATACACTGTTTTTTCATGAAACAACTATAATGAATGTGGCTCAAGTTACAGAGTTAGTTGCAAGCAGATCCACAATGGAAAACATATGCCAGGTTACACGTGTGAAGGATCCCAGCAGGCGATAACCACTGGGCTATAAGCTGTGTGCAGGACAGTTCTGCGCCATGGTGGATTTACTGTGGTAAACTCCCCTGGTTCAACCCATTAAACCAGAAAGTACTAAAGGAACAAAAAGATTCCTGATCTGAGCCCACAGGAATGGAAAGTACAAGAGATTTTATCAATGAGCTGCTTCCTGCTAGACGTGACCCATAGCACTCATTAAACCAAATTATATAAACTTTTTCTCATAAAAAGGGAATTTCCTTAAAATATTCCCATTTTCAGGCCACATCCTAGCTCTTCACATGAAGAAGTAACACTAATTATGCATTGTTTGTTACAAGTAGTTTGTTCATGCCATATGAAAGAAATGGATTGAATGGTCACCTTGGGTAAAGCACTTCTTAGCACTAGTATTTTTGGAACAAAGGTATAATTAGAGCTTAGATTAAAATCTGACTCTTCTGACAACCATGGAAGAACTTCCTGCAAGAAAGCAAATAACATGTAACAAAACCACCCTCTTC